CAAGTGGCCATCTAAGATGCAACAGTGGGTCTCTCTTCATCTGGAGCAAAGAAGAATGAAGAAAATCAAAGACCCACGGAAACAATTAGTCTAAGGGACTAGTGGACCACGCGAACCTCAGCCTGTATGACCCTAGGACTGGAAGAACTAGATGGTGCTTGGCTATTACTGTCAGCCACTCGGAAAGGAATCAGTGCTGGAGATCCTGGATAGAGTGGGAGAAAAATGTGGAAAAAAACTCAAAATCATAAGAAAGACCAGGCTTACTGATCTGATTGAGTCTGGTGAAACCCCCACAACTATGGCCCCTAGTCACCCTTCAGGCCTGGAATTAAACTAACTCCCATGGTTTCCAGCCAAACAACAGACAGGCGTATAAGGTGAACGTTTACACCAGGTAGGTGTACTCCTTAGAATGATCAATCATGGGAAAACAAGGGCAGCATTTGCACAGGGAGATAGCTCAGGGGACAGGAATACATATGAAAGAAGGTAACTACAGGGAGGAAGTGGGAAAAGGGCTGTTGCATTGTGGGGATTGCAGTCAGTGTCAGGAAACAAAATGTGTATGAACTGTTGAATGGAAAATGAGTTTGCTCTGTAAACTTTCAACCAAATCACAATTAAAAAAAAAAAAAGATGTTGAATGAGAGGCATTCTGGTAGCAGGTGGTGGTGAGGAATCACTCTGAAGTGGACACACGTTATTCTCATATTGAACAGTGGGCCACCTCCTCTAATTCCCTTCCCCTACTCAGTTCTGAGAATGTTGGGATCTACATGGTGTCCTGTTTGTAGTGGGGGTGGGGAAAAGTTTGGAAGGTTTATTTGTGGAGAAAAGCTAGGAGCACGGACCTTCCGTGGTGACGATTGGGAGTCAGGTTCCTGGCTCGTCACCATGGAGGAAAGCCCCCGAGATGGGGAGCAGCACAGCCCCGTCCCGTACATAGTGCTTGGCAGCAGCCACGTGGTAGGATTCTTCGCTTTTATAGAGACAGCCAGTCACTAGACATTTGAACAAAGCCTCTGATGTAAAAGGGATCAAAATAGAGGGGTGGCAGGGGAGAGGAAAGTAAAGATAGAAGAAAACAGACAATGCAGAGAGAAGAAGAAAATGGCTGAAAAATGATAATATTCTCAGAGACAAGAGAAGCCATTTCATTCTTGAAACAGGAATAAGGTGACTGAAAAGAAACATTCCAAAGAGCCCTTGAGAACTTAAACATGTTCCAGAAATGATAAG